ATACTGCAAACTCGATCAACTTGATGTGCATTTTGGTGATCAAGAAAATAGTATTGAAATTAGATAAAATATGAAACATTCAAGTACACTTGATGAATGAGAAACTGAGTCGGGATCGGACACATCATCGAAACTAAACTAAGAAAAAGGTGGCTTTTGGCTACTTAACAGCACTCAATAACGCTCTTTGAAATTGATCGATTGTCACGCGACAATCGCCACTTTGCTATCGCGCAACTCAAATCGTACGTATAAACAGCCCTGCGATTGTTGCAGCTAAACTTCAAGCAAGTTCGAAACTCAGGCGATTGTCGCGAAACAATCGCGCTTCAAAAATCGTGTAAACAGGMCTTAATTGACGAATAATGTAAGAATATGCAAACCTGTAATTAGTAGTACAAAGTACACGGCAACTTTCATCTTCAAATTGTGTCAATTCTGCCTTTCTGTTCGTTATGCGATGGATGGATGTTCAACAGACAACTTCAAGCGATCTAAACCCGCAAATCAGCACCTTTTATATCAAGGGAAAATAGGCTTTTCCCATGATGCATTGAACACTTACCTTGGCTCTTTCGGTATAAGCACTCATTCGGTATTGCAGGCAACTTCGTGCTCAGGCTGGAGACTGAGAACTAAAATTTAATATTGATAAAGCACATTCCCGTCCCCAGACCCTTTTCATCTTCCGACCGACAGGACGTCACATGATCGGCTAGAGTTGAAATAGCAAACGGACAAGCTGGTRATAGTTGTCAAAAATTCAAATATTTGTAATAAAAATTATCGGTACGTTTTTATTTTGACCCCTATACTGATTGATACAGTTAGTTGTAATTGGCAATTAATAGTTTCCTAGGTTCACTGCATAAAATATGTTCTCGAAGTCCCTCAAAATGCTGGAAATCGAATTTCCGCGATGAGGTTCAGAATTTCAAAAATTTATCGGCCATTCCATTTGATCGTTTCAGCCTTCGGTGGTCGCTAGCCCCCTCAACAAAACTAAATATGCACCGCGTTCCCTGTAAGTGTCGAAAAATGTTTTGTTTCACGGGTTTTCACTTTGCTGATATAGCCATATTGGTTGCAGGACTGGTGACATGATAAATACCACTGAAATCTATGGAGCGAATAATTTTATTTCGTTGAGAACTTACCGCCATTTGTAGAACCAGCCCGCATGAGAGAGATTTTCAAAAATCCGTGAAATACACTTTAGAATGTACAACACTTTCAATAGTTGAGTTTCGCAATATCTTTTACGCTGTGCCAGCAAAATATTCAGAAATTTTGATAAAAATCGTGAAATTTCAAACTTTTTCCATTGTCTTCTACACGGACTGCATTTGCACGGACTGTTACTGAATAAAAATGATTTTGAGGCGTAAAAGAGATTGCTAAAAGGGTTTATTGTGTACTTTTATAAAATTTGACAGTTTGTTTTAAGGGTTTTCAGTGAAAAATCACACTTAGAGTATATATAAATGCTTGTTATGTAACCAAAAATCCAAATCGTCTCGAGTTGATTGTTCAAAATGCTAGAATTTACATACGAATTTCGCTCTGGATTGTGCACTTGGCTTCCTGCCCTTTTTGCAACGCAGGGAACCCAAATGAATAAAGTTGAATTTAACTTTCATTTAAGGTGAATCAGTAAAATTTATATGCATATCTGAACTGATGCAGGGTTATAATAACCTTTCCACTGATTAATTGAGCTGAAACTTTTTGAAATTAAGTTAGGTTAAACAGATTTTCAAAAATATTATTGCGGAGTGTGGTTAAATGTAGCGGCTAGTCCAGTCCTGGCCTCTCGTTTCCGACGCTCGCGGAATCGCTGGGGAAAGAGAGTCCAGTATAACTTGCATGCGCATGTCAGCTTAGCGACCTCGTGATTACCACACCGATGTGGTAATCACGAGGTTACCTAGTCCTATACAATTACCAAGATGGCGGAGAGCGCGGTGGAAGGTAGTTTTCACTTGAAATACAAAGATAATTTTGGACCGGCTTTTCTAAATGCAGTTAGTTATGCCTTAAAAAAATGTAAATACTACTTCAGTGTAATCACCGTAAGCACTATAGAGAACCGAACGCCTGGCTGAACGCAAGTTTTAGTGCAAAACCTGCAAGCCGAAGCTGCCGCCATTATTTTTCGAATTTTTGACAGAATATAGCGTGCACGTGAAGTAAACAAACCACTGACCATTATAAATTGCGGGCTCTCAAAATTCAACTTTATTCTGATTGGCTGGTCCTGCACATGCGCATGCAAGTTATACTGGACTCTCTTTCCCCAGCGATTCCGCGAGCGTCGGAAACGAGAGGCCAGGACTGGACTA